CCGGGCAGGTCGGAGCCTCAGACCGGCGCCAGGCGGCCCTCGAGTCTCCCGCGCGTCGGCCGCTTTGTTACCTGGAAACGGACACAGCGGCTGGCGCCAGATTCCACTCCGACCAACCAGCAAAGATGGACGCTTGGAGAAAGATGCCGGAAGTCCCGCCCCCGGGCCGCGAACCCCGCCGGCGACCGACGCGCCATTGGCTCCCCAGCGCAGCGCCTCCTGGGCAACGTAGTTCCGAGAGCTAAAGGGACGCGCCGGGAGCTCTCCAGCCTGAGCCGCTAGAATGGCTTCCAGGGGACGGACCCTGGGAAGCGAGGCTCCGCCTGCGCGAGGGCCTGGCTGCCAGTTACCTGCAGGAAAGCTCACAGCTGACAGGATCCACCTGAAGCGCGGTGAAGGCTCAGAACCACAAGACCGCCCCCCTTCAGAGAAAGACCGCAATCAAGGCCTCAGCTGTGCTCGACAACAGGCTGCTTTAAACGCAGAACCACCGGCCGGCGGGGACTTGGCCGCTCAGTGGGTCGTCCCATGCTGCGGGTTTGATCCCTGGTCGGGGCATACAATCAACCGAAGACTGCACTAAAACAAGCGGAGCAACAAATCCATGGTTTTCCTCTCTAAAATGACGAAATAAAAGATTTTTCAAAAGGAGAACTACAGGCTTAAAGCGGCACCACTCATGCCAAAAGCCCGTGATATCAAACCTAGTTAAATACCTGATATAATTGCAGCTCAACCTCTCCCAGAAACATTTTTTTACTTTTTTTGTTGTTAAGTCTCAGCTGAGGTTATATTTTCCATTGATTTTTAGAGTGGGGGGGGGGAGAGGGAGGGAGAGAAAAACACATTTGAGTCATCTATCAGCTGCTTCAGGCAGCTGACAGACCGCGGCTGGGGATCGTACCTGCACACTAGGTACATGCCCTTAACAGGGCATTAAGCCGGAGACCCTATCTATGGTGCTCAGGCTGGTGCTCTAACTACAGTGCACACTGGACAGGGCTTTTCCTTTTTCTTCTTGCCTTTGTTTTTCCTATTTTCCCAGAAACATAATTTTTTTTTTCTTTGATCAACAGTAACACCCTTCTGCAGTTTGCTCACTTTTGCAGAAACAATCTCCAGTGCCCATGCAAGCACTGTCACTGCATCCACAGGAAAAATGTTACTTCCCAGTGAGGACAAGGGTTGAATCCAAAACCTTTATTTCAGCCCTGGCCAGTGTGGATCAGTTGGTTGGGCATCGTCCCATTTACCAGGTCACTGGTTTGATTCCCAATCAGGGAATATACCTGGGTTGCAGGCTCGATCTGGCGGCCTTGCACGAGGCAGCTGATCGATGTTCCTCTCTCTCTCTAAAATCAATAAAAACATATTTTACAAAAAAACCAAACACACCTTTATTTCAGGTTCAGGGTCATCAACGGCATTCCCATGATTGTAGGGCAGACAGTGACTGCTCTGGGTCACCAGAGGAATGGGGGAGGAATCATGATGATAATTCCAACAATGGAAACAGCAGCAAAGCTGAGTCTCTCTAGTCCTCTCCAGTCATGAGCCCAAGGCTGAAGCATTCACATGTTTAAATCTAGCCTTTTGAATCTGACATTTGTCTGTTGTGTGACTTTAAAAAACCCACTTCATATTGATCCTCACATGGGCCATGGTTAGCACCTTCATTACTTTCATATCAGTGAAGTGAGTTTTGAAGACCTCTAAAGTCAGCCAGAGATTCCCAGCTAAGAAATCCAAACTGAGACCTCAGTACCCTGAAGACACCTCCTCCATGTGGAGGGGTCTGTGGGTACTATAGCAAATCGGGGGTTTGAGAAGCCCCAATTTTTTTCACATGTACCTGGAGCAGAAGGTCTCAGGGATGTCTGGCATATGGACAGCATGACATGTAATGGTTGGTGGCACAGCCACTATTCCTGGAATGGGCACTAAGGCCCAGAGCAGGGGGACTCTTTACCCCCATTTTACAAAGGAGAAAACTATGAGGCCCAGAGCATGGCTCACTCACCTGTTGTCATGGTGTCGGTCAAAAATCTGGGATTTAAACCATTTGTATGGCCCAAGGTATGAGGAGACTGATCACTAATCTCTTCTCTTTGACTTTCAGGAAGGTTTGGGGGCTCAAAGATTACCCATTCATCCTCATACCACCTGGTGCAATTTTGTGTCCTGCTCCAAGAAAGCATACCACAGATGACAGACCATGAAAGTGGGTGAACACTGAAAAGCATGGCTTTATTTTACTAATACTATTAAATGTCTAAACTTACAAAGGTAAGAAAGGGTGTTAATATTGCACATTATCCCTAAAGTGTATGTGTCTGTAATGATGTTTATTAACAAAAGTTTTTCAAAATAGGAAATATAATTCAACGGTTGAAAACCATTATTTCATACACCAAGAGTTATATCTATTCTCTGAGTAAAAATGGGTGACATTGCAATATAGCTTTGTTGTTTTACTGTCCTATATGTTAAAGAAAAATAGTCTCAATTCATAAAATTGGTAAATCAGCCCTTGCCAGTAAGACTCAGTTGGAAGGCATCATCCTGTGCACTGAAAGTTTGCAGGTTCAATTCCCAATCTGGGCACATTCTAGGGTTGAGGGCTCCATCCCCAGTAGGGGACTTGTAGCAGGCAACCGATCAATGTTCAAGTTTCATATCAATGTTCCTCTCTCTCTCTCTCTCTCCCTCTCCCTTCCTCTCAAGAATCAATAATAAAACATAGGTGTTAAACTAGTTGCACAAGAACAATGGACAGGATTTTCTTAAAACCTTTCACTGAAGAAGTTTTAGGCCTGGGGTCTTTGCAGGACCTAGGAAACAGATTCCACACAACGAGCCTTGAAATTATCATGTGTGGCCCAGCCGGGTGTGGCTCAGCGGTTAAGCATCGACCTAAGATACAGGAGATCAGGGTTTGATTCTCGGTCAGGGCACATGACCGGGTTGCGGGCTGCAGCCGATCAATGATTCTCTCATCATTGATGTTTCTCTCTCTTCCTCTCTCTGAAATTAATAAAGATATAAAAAAAAGAAAAAGATATCATGAGTGAACAAAGGAAAAATTCATGCTCTCCCTAGAACTACTTGAGAATGTCATAACTGACCTCTACTCAGGATGATTTCCTTTTCTTTTTTTTTAAATGTTTTCACTGATTTTAGAGAAAGAGGGAGAAACATAAATGAGAACCAAACATTGATCCCCTGCCTCCTGCATGCCCCCTACTGGGGCTCCAGCAAGCAACCCAGGCATGGACCCTGACTAGGAATCGAACTGACGACCTCTTGGTGCAGGGGATGATGCTCAAACAAATCAGCCACACATGCCAGGGCTTCAGAGTGATTTCTGAATCTCCTAAAACTCACAGCATCCAGGCTTCAAATAAGAGCCAGAAAACCCTGTATTCTTTCCTAGAAGGTCACTGGCAAAAATGCAAATTTGGCAAAAACTGATAAACTATATTTTACCATTATAGTATACCTATGAAAAACAGAAAGTTGAATGTGCCCATAAAAATGTTTACACTTCACACTTGTGGAGCCAAAAAATCTGTTTATAAAACACCCCACACAGTAAATAAAACACCCAAAATGAAAGAGAACTTATAGACTTAAACAGTATTGTACAAACCAAAGAAATATACAGCAAACAGTTCAGGTTGGTGACTTAGAAACTGAAAAAATTCATGGGAGAACATGGCCCTTCATCTGGACTCATATGGTATTTTCTGACCCAACAATGGGTTGGCTTCCTGTCCAGCGTGAACTTCAAAGAGCTCAGGTTATATCTAATTTTCTCCAAAACGTGAAAAAACAGAAGTCAGATTCCCTGAGCACATTAAGATGGTAATGGACACAAAAGGTGGGGACCTGCCACGTGGTAGAGTGAGATGCCTTTGATAACAGAAAAATGGCAAGGGCCCTGGACAGGTCAGAGAGTACACACAGGTACACATGCTTCCCACATAACTGAAACTTAAGATGAATCTCCCAACTTTAACAACTGGAAATATGAGACTAAATTCAGAACGGGGGATTCTCATGGCTTCTTCCAGTGTCATTATACTGGATAAGAAAATTGCACATTCCCTTAAACATTTAAGGTCTTTCCCCAGTGTAAATGTCACACTGTATAATAAGGCAAATTCTAGGGGGAAAAATTTCCCACATTGGGTGCACTCATAAGGCCATCACGTGGGTGAACTCTCAGGGGGTGGAAGACTGTCAAGCTATGGGTAAAATATTTTTCATATTTACTATATCATAGGCCTATTCCTGTGTGAACTCTCAGATGATAAGAAACTCCAGAGATACAGGTAAAATATTTTGTGCATTCACTATGCACATAACACCATTTTCTAATATGAAGTCTCAAGTATTAAGAAAGTTTAGATTTATGGCTAAAAAACTCCCCCTCTTTGCACTGAAACAACTACCTCCAGCGTCTACTCTCTAGTGTTACTTGCATTGAGTACTATCCTTAAAAGTTTTCCCACATTCAATGTAATATTAAAACCTTTATCTTTTGTGAACTCGTTGGTGTACACGAAGGTGAGGTCTTCCCGCAAAACATTTCCCACATTCACTACACACATAAGGCCTTTCGCCTGTGTGACTTCTTTGATGTTGAATGAGCATCGATCTCTTGAGAAAAGATTTCTCACATTCATTGCACTCATAAGGCCTTAACCCAGTGTGAACACTCTGATGATAACGGAGGCCAGAGCCAGATGTAAAGGATTTCCCACACTCTCTACATTCATATGACTTTTTGCTGGCATGAAGTCTCTGATGATTACGGAAGGAATAACAAGAGGCAAAAGATTTCCCACAGTCATGGCACTCGTACGGCCCGTCTCCACTGTGAACTACCTTATGATAACGAAGTTGCCTCTGAGTGGTAAAAGATGTCCCACACACACAGCACTCGTAAGGCTTTTCTCCTGTATGATCTCTCTGATGATTTCTGAGATTAAAACCAGATGCAAAAGATTTCCCACATTCTTTGCACTGATGCCTTTCTCCCGTGTGAACTCTCTGATGTGTGCGAAGGTGGTATCTTCGGAAAAAACATTTCCCACAGTCACTGCACTCAAAAGGCCTTTCTCCAGTGTGCACTGTCCGATGTTGACTGAGGTTAGAACCTGATAAAAATGTTTTCCCACATTCACTGCACTGG